ATGCCAAAATGACAGAACTTGCTTTGTGACATCACAGTGCAAATTCTATTCTTTCATAATTCATTGTAATGTATGCAAGCACAACACAGTGGATGCAATGTTGTGCATGTTTCATCACTCCCTACCCCACTAGCACCTATGCTGTTAGACATATTCATCAATAGACCTGTAAAACTGCTACAAAGCAGATGACTGTAAATAATGTTGTGTATACATGGTTCATTCACAAAATACTCAAAAGGTCATATAAAGCTCCATTATTAATTATATTGACTGTGGACTATGCCAAACAGGCCTTTTGCATAAGCCGCTTACCCATGGTTAATTTAAATGTGTTTAGAAAATTAAGTAATTTTCTGGGTTTGTAAGGCACATTGAATCATAACTACGTAGAATAGATTTGCATAATACACTAATCTAATGTGATTCAGCATGTTAAGCAACAGAATCTCAGAGTTACAATAAAGCTTTAAAACCAAATAAAATAAAAATTACACCACTGAGCTTAGGCCTGGTTGAGGATAGGATTTAATGCTGGTTGCAACGAACTAGAAAAAAATAGTATATTTTCTATCACTTCGTCAAAATTTAATCAAATCAATGGGCTCATAGAAATGATATTTTATACATACATACATACATACATACATACATACATACATACATACATACATACATTGACTTAGCTGCATTTTCACAAATAGCCCCTCCACACCTGATAGTAATTAATGTTTTTGACAAATACTCAAGATAAATAGACAATACTATTTCATGCATGTTCTACCAATGGAGGGATTGGTACCAGTGACTTCCTGGAAATTCTAGCATCATAGTCTCTGGAGAAAGCCCAGATGCAAAAACAAAATAATTATACCCACTGAAAGGGGACTTTGATACTGTGGTACAGAGACCAAAAATATGATCTTTCTCAGTGAAAAAATCATGCAAGGTATGAAGGACCGGGAGAATTAAGGGGATTTTAGTTAAGTAATCCAATGGAAAATCCCAAAAACAGACAGCAGAAACCAAAGGCAACTTCTGTTGGTGTTTAAGTATTACTGATTCATGGGTAACATTTGCTCAGCTCATTCTTAAGTGATTCTCTGCTCTGGTCTATCATACTGTATGTTGTTCCCACCCATTCAACTTTCAGCATCCAGGAAGTAGCTGCCCTAATATTATTATTTTAAATAGCCTTGCAACATCTTATAGCAGTCATTCCCTTTCCTGACTCTAGTTGTGGCTGCCTCTGGGGAAACAAGTACATTAAGCTGAAATACACTCAGGCCACTATGCATAAAAACAGTTTCCCTGACATTGTTTTATTGTTGTTGTTATTTTACAATCAGAAAAAGAGAAAGTAAAACCTGCAGCAATCATTAACCCATTTCCTAGAGTAGCCTGAGTTTCTCAGCAGGAGGGGGAAAGAGTCCCTACCACTCCACCCACAGAGCTTACTGTCAACTGAGACTGGAGTGGGAATTGAATGGTTTGGGTTCTCCCTGGTAGTTCTAACAGTGTTGTGGTGGGCGCAAATCGGGGAATTTTTTTTTTCTAAAGGAATTCAAGTTTTTAAAAATTGCACAATACAGGAGCGCATTTGGAAGAGGGGTGGAATCAGCTGGCAGGCTTCCAGTTCTGCAAATCTACTGGAACGATTTAATCAGTAGGCTACCGGGGGTGGGTGGAGGGTGGGAGAGAGAATATTGTGGTTGAACTTGGTTCCAGTCAGTGGAACAGGAACAAAATCTATCAATTTGGCTAACGTTTGCACCTTTCGGCCGAATGGATGAAGGGTATTTAAAAACCAGGCAGCCTAAGTACCATTTAAATACAAGCCAACATAATTAAATTGCAGGCATTACATAGAAGAAACCATCTTTGTAATGCAGGTCACTGGAAAGGTTATATTTAGGGCAATGCAGATTTGGTGGAAAACAATAATTCACCAGGATAAAGCAGGGCAAAGATTTGTGTATGTATATATCCATCAGGCTATTTCCTTCAAACTATATTACAGTGCAGAAAAGAAGTCCATAGTAATAAGTAATAAGCCAAAGAAATTAAAGGTGTGAGATAAGGTAACAAAAATGGTTAAATTTAATGTATACCATACCATCCCATTTCGTTCTCAAATCATCCTTGTTTATTTGTGTATACCTTGACTTTTCTTCTTTAAACTTACCTCATTTTGAAAATCTAACAAATACTGCCAAACTTAGCTTCTTTTCCAAGAATCCATTCTCTTCAGCTTAAAATGGCAGACTATGTTCTCCTTCCTCTGCTGAAGCCACACAATGCTTTTATGAGGGTTACATTGTAGTGTGTTTATTATTATAAACCATTGCATTTCACTTGTTTTTTTAAAAAAATATAATAGGCTTTATGGCAGTCCATTCATAAGTACAGGTTGCAAGTCAGATGTTCTTAACCCAGGCATTGTCTATACTCCTCTACCAACTTTCATGCATTTATACATTTCATAATAACCTGCTGAACAGCAAAAAAATTGTTCTTCATTCCAAGGAATGCTGTTAAAATAGACTGTGTGTACAACAAAATAAATCCGGCATATCTAGTATTTAAGATCTGGATTTGTGGAGAGTTATTGCCTGCTTGCTGGCTAATTAATGTACTTCCATGTTCACATGCGCAAAGCCTTTGCACGTCCTCATCTTCTCTCCACAACCACTCAGGTTTCCCATATGCAAAATACAGCCTACAGCCAGGATAATGCAATGGTCAGAATGCAGCATTACAGGAAAAATCTGCCCACAAATTTCTATCTGGAGTTCAATCCTGACTGGGCTCAAGGTTGACTCGGACTTCCATTCTTCTGAGGTCAGTAAAATGAGGACCCAGATTGTTGGCAGCAATATGCTGATTCTGTAAACTACTTAGAGAGTGCTGTAAAGTACTATGGAGTGGTATATAAGTCTAAGTTTTATTGCTATAGCTGTGCTCTCTCATACATAATCCATGTAGACATTATTGTATCCAAAGTTTGGCCCCATAGAAATGTATTATATAAATTACATTAAATGTTCAAATTGGTTGCCATTTTCTTATAATCATTTATGTGATGCATGACTTTTTAACATTCTTATTAGTAACATTTTCTCCGGTGGGGGGGATGGACATATTGCGACTAGCCTATGGGTTCTGACTTTTAGTATACCCTGTGAACCACATTTATCCAAGTTAGTCTATAATACCAGGACCCTTTCCCCAAGAATTGCTAGTAGGAACTATCTTTATTTTCATCCATTTCCAGCATCGACTTAAATTCCTTTTTCTATTTACTGCAACAGAATAGCAACTCAATGGTTCTGAGAAATTAGTAAAGCAACATTGTATGGTTTGCAACTGAAGAGAAGGGGCTTTAACAGTTAACCATACCCAATTTAACTTACTCTTTAATAAGTTAATCTTCTTCACATGACTCTCTGTGTTTCTCAGCCTTGGAGGCTTAAGATGTGTAGATTTCCACTCACAGAATTTTCCAGCCAGCAGGTTGAGAAACACTATTGTAACTTCTAGGATGGACCATGAAAAAAGAATAAGTCCATTTGGCATTCAAATGATTTGGGCCCACCGAACCTGAATGCCAAGAATTAACATGGGAGAAAAATGCCTATAATATTAATTAGGGATGGCTCCAATAGACGAAAATACCTGTAGCTCAGGGATGAACTAGGGAGTTCTTGGTGTTCTCTGAGCTTGGGTGTTTGCTTGCAGATGTTTTGTTACCCAAATAAGCATCAACATGAGGTGGGCTAGCGTGGGGTAGCTCCATTTATACAGAGTAGCTTGCCTTGCCAAGGTGTGATTTTCTCGATAGTTCTCATTCCCAGAGCATGGATTACCTACCACCAGCAAAAAATCAAGCAGAAAGTAATAACCTAATCAATACAAACAAGGAACAAGCTTCACACTGATTCGCATTGTTAGTGTTACCTAATTGGGTGGTGAAATATCTGTAAGCAAACAACTAAGCTCAGAAAGCACCAAGGACTCCATCATTGGGGATAGTTTTGAGCACACGTGAGCAATTAGAAGACTTGTAGAGAAAGTGACAGAAAGGATAGAAAAGCAAAATATAGCAGCTGATGAGCATTTAAACATTCTTACTTCTGCAGGATAGGGATCCTGGTCAGCCTTGCCTATCTGCAAATATTATTTTAGCAGTATGACAATATTTGTAATTGTAAAGTTACTGAGTTAATCACCCGGATGGTCTTTCATTGGACAGCACAAATTACAACAGATTATGACAGATCACAAATACCATTGGTGTAGCTTTGTCTCTCAATTGCAATCATGCTTTTCAAACCTCACTTCTTTGGACCGAAAGTGCATTGTCTAGACAGTTCTGCTCTCTGCCTTGTTTTTCAAGTAAAAAATAGAATTCCTATCTTCGGACCATCAACCCACCAGAAAAGTGCACATTTACACGTGGGACCTTCTGTAGAAAATCTATAATAATCTGAGATGCAATGTACAAAATTGCATAAAATGTTTCGTATTGATTTTCAGTGCATTGAGAGAACACAAATTACAAAAAAGACTGAAATATAAAGCAGTCATTGACTCTCACCCAGTATAAGAATTAAACAAGAATTCACTTTCAAGTTTATTTAGTTTTACTTTTTAAAAAAAGATTTTCAGTGTTTTCTTTTTTTAAAAAAATACTGTTTCAGATGCTTGAACTACAGCTTAGGGCCCCCAACTCTGTTTCTTTCTCCTTAATCCCCAGAAGCTTGCAATGCTTCTATGCACCTCTTCCCCAAATAGAAAACTATTTGCGTTCCCCTGCTTCACTGGAACAGGAGGTGGAGGCGAGGGGAAGCAAGGAAAAGCACCTTGAATTAAAGAGAAGGTCCCAGTACTGCTTCAAAGCACAAAAAATATAGCAGGAAACTGTCCCATCAAATTTTGATGATGCAGTTTATGCCATGTCTGAAAATCAGATCAAATGGGAGGCATATTTCTGCCCATAACTGGCCCTGCCTAGTGACATGTTTGACTCCAACATGTAGCATGCATAAGAAAATTCCTGGAGCAGAAACTTTATTTTCCTCCCACACCTTTGGAAGTTGAATGTAGTTTCAAAAAGGGAGAAATAGTTTTCACAGGCAGCTTAAAACTCTCCACTGTGAAAGAGAAACTAACTATATTCCTAACTTTAAATTTCCCCTCTTCCAATTCAAACCCTTTTTTTTATTTTCCCAGTTCCTATAAATTCCCCACCCACCCACTGAAGTATGATTCTAAAGAATATTCAGATTAATGTTATTAATATTCATGCATTGCTGACTCTGCAGTGTGAAAAAGGAAATGCCCCCACACCCTGAAAGGCCCTTGGCCCCTTTGATATCCCATTCATGTGGTAAGAACACCTATTAATCCATGATCAGAAAGTAATAGCAGTTTCTTGGGGCTTCCCAGGTTGGTAAAATCAGGGACAGCTTGGAATATCTTAGGACCAAGTAGATGGAATGAAGGAAAGAACTCATCTCTCCCTTCCTAGGTGATGAGAGGAAAAGGGAGAAGGTGAAGTCCCACAAGGATAGGTCCAATCTCAGGTCAGAATGGGCACTGCATCTAGGATAGAAAAGAGACAGAGAGGAATGAGCAAAATGTAGTATGGAAAAAATCTGAGTCTAAACCTGAACAGGCTAAGTGAAATTCAGTTTTTTTTGACTCACACTTTGCATAAACAAATAGGGATATTCACACCAGGCCTTGGGTAGCAACTGCTTGTGTGCCTAGCTTTCTATTTTTGGATGCTTGGGTGATTTATTCAAAACTCCACACATATGAAACAAAGATGGCAGCTTGCAGCCTGTGGAATCTACCCCCGTTTTAACTAGAAAGTATTTCTTAACCGTGGCAACTTTAAGATATATGAACTTCAACTCAAGAATTCCCCAGTCAGCATGCTCAAAGTCAGAATGGGACAACTTGGTGCAGGCCAACTCACCATAATCAACTCACTGTGGGATACCTCACTATGGGACAATTCAACAATTCAAGTATTTAAAACAATTAAAAGTTATTTTAATTTTTGTCATTCGTATTTCATTTTGTCCTTCCTCTTGCACCTTTCTTTCTTTAATGATTCTGTTCCACTATTTCTTCGATATTGGTATAACTCTTGTCCTGCAGTGAGTTGTTCTGCAATGAGTTGACAAGTTGGCCGCGGTGAGTTGCCTGTGGTGAATTGGCCACATTCCCTTAGATCCGTTTAAAGTTGCCGAGGTTGAGCAACACTGAACTAGGATCTTGAATTCCATTAATCAGACCCAACTATGAAATAATTGAAGGAAGCTTGGAGAATAAGCCCCTGCTTTCCTTGAACTAGATGCTATAAGACTACCAATTTATATTATAGTCAGCATAGATCAGGAATTCTAACACAGAAGACTCAGTTGAACTCAAGGAAAAGGCCTCTTTGGCATCCATCCCCATTACAGGAATTAAATTCTGCTTTCAAAATATACACATTGAGCAAAATTCCAGCTATGGCATTTTATTTTAAATTAAGAATATTTTTCTTGCTTTTGTTATACAATAGGAAGTTAAAAACCTTTGCTCCTCTATTACAGTCATCAAGGTGTCCCCTGCAATTATAATGTAAGTTTTTCCCAGTTTAGACCTATTTTGTATATGTGGTCTTAGCTGATGAAGACAATGGAAGATGTATATTGATGATTACAAACTATTCCTGATTACCAAATACTATTCCTCCCCCCTCCAATTTTACTTGAACGAAAGAACTACTTTAAAAATCTGAGACCTTTCTTTGAGTTTTTGACTAGCATTAGCTAAAGAGCTATAGTGGCATAGTGGTTAGAATACAGTACTGCAGGTTAGTCTGGAGTTTGATCTTAAGTCAATCTGGCGTCCTGACAGGGCTCAAGATTGACTTAGCCTTCCATCCTTCTGAGATCAATAAAATGAGGACCCCAATTGTTAGGGGAAATATGTTGACTGTGTAAACTGCTTAGAGATGGTGTACAGCACTTTGAAGCAGTGTATAAGTCTAAGTACTATTGCTATTTCTAATGTATAGTAAGTCCCCAAAATAAGGATTTTTTAACTTTACCATTGTGGAAGAGACTCCTGCGCCCCAAACTTGTTCTTTTGGGACACCAGGCTATAATCTTCAAAGGGGATCTTTCAATCAAAATGTCTGCCATTTAACTTTTAAAGCAGATTGCTTGTGGCTTGCTTGCTTATTGCCTCTGTGCTTACATTCTATGTTTTAAAGAGAAATTTATAGTACAAATTAATTTAACATTCTTTAAAAAACATTCTATGGGCTGTTTCTGTTTTATAATTACATAAATCAATTTAGACATACAAATAAAGATTAAGGTGAATGCTAACTGAAAGATTTAAACCAGCTTTCCTACATCAAAAAGCTGTTCAGATGTTTCAGATTGTAAGTCATAGGCTGTCCAAGAACAAACGGAGTTTGAACTCAACACATCTGAAAGATACCAAACTGAGGAAATTAAATTTATGCTTTGTTGATTAAAAAATAGAGCTACTATGAATCTGCAATCCCTATACTTTATTTGAATTTATAGTTCTAATCAAAAGGTTTCAAAAGTAATGCAGTGCAAATTACGAAGTGGCCTGAAAATATCCGTCCTAATTTTAGCTTTATATGTTCATCTTTCACAAAGATGATCTACATCATATTGACCACATCTACACAGCCAGGCCTCTGCTAAATAAGATGTGAAAATATCTGTCCTAATTTTAGCTTTATATGTTCATCTTTCACAAAGATGATCTACAACATATTGACCACATCTGCACAGCCAGGCCTCTGCTAAATAAGATGTGACAAAACTTTTCCGGTGCAAGCAGCCCTCTCCCAGTTGATTCAAGTAAGTGAGGAAATCAATAATTAGCTCTAATTTCCTGTTTAACCCAAGCCAAATTTTAAATCATGAATTAATATCTTAGCTTGCACTAAAGTAGGCATATTGTTATCATGTTTTGTTCTGTGTCTTTGAGTAAGCGTTGACTCCTGATGGCTGCCTGGACAAGTACTTGCAATTTTTTTGGTAAGGTTTTTCAGAAGTGTTTGCCATTGTTTTATTTTGGGGGGCTAGAGAGAATGACTGGCTAGAGTCACCCAGCTAGGTGGAACTAAAACTCATAGTCTCCTGGTTTCTAGCCTAACTCTTTAACCACCACACCAAAATGGCTCTCTATGGTTAATTATAATCTTTTTTTAGTTTACTTGCACTGTAGTGGCAGGAGCAAAGGCTGTGTGTGGCAAATATCTTGTATTTCTATTGCATTAAGCTAATACATGAATAAAACTCCCTGCATTTTTTCCAGCATGCTTATTTATTCTACTTCTGCTTTTTCCAACCTTGTCATTTCTTCCCCTTGGCAGTAGGGGGCACTCATTCATCCCCGACAGTCATGCCTCTCACTGTGCCCTTCTGGCGGATCTGCAACAAAATACAGAATTTCTTATTGAATGGCTCTCTTGCAAGAATAATTTCCTAATGGGTCTGGCCCACTTCTCCTACCCTTAATTCCGCTTGTGAAGTAAGTCAAAACAATTTTGTGTTCCCTAGCAGTAATCAGGTATAACTGAATTCAAATGTATTTCCATATTTTAATCATAGATGGCTGTTTATAAATATACAACCAAACAGGCAAACATGTAGAACAATGTTTTTTAATCTTGGCAATTTGAAGATAGTTGGACTTCAACTCCCAGAATTCTCCAGCCAGCATGGAGCAAGAGGCTACCTCTCCTTTTTAATTTATTGGTATCAAAAGCACAAAATAGCAGTATTTATGGGAAATAACTGGGCCAGTTTTTAAAAATATACTGTATTTGAAAAGTTTCTGGTGGAGGGGGTCAAAATCTTTCCAACTTGAAGTAGATGATTTAAGCCCTTCACAATGTAGTATCACTAAAATCTGGTGTTTTTGTTGCTGTTACTCTTAGCCCAAAAGCTGAGAAGTAATGTTTTTAATATTAATTCCAGCAACAATATCTTGGAGAAAAAGTATAGCACACAAAAAGGATGGGAAGACATTGCATATGGATCACATATACCCCTCCCATATTACAATTATTAATGTAATCTTTTTACATCTTCTTACTGCAAAGAAAAAGTCTTTTTAAAAAAACTTTCTCATTATTTGCATTGTTTTAATAAAGCATGATTTTGAAGAAGAAAAAAGTGCTTGCTTCATGTTTAGCTAGGATGCTTCATTTTATAAAATATCCTTATATTCATCTCCTTCTATAGAAGAATAGAACGTCTTTTGTTACAGCAGAGACTTTTCTTGGGGAAAGAAAGCTACTCTGCTACCCTATCCAGTACATACTCTACTCCCAAACTGGTAACCATCCTTAGCACCTCATCAAGCTCTTTCTGCGTCTCGTCCTCCATCCGCCGGATGTCAGCCATGCTTAAATCCACCCACTTATCCAACCAGCAAAACAGCTGCCTATGGAAGTTGGTAAAGAGGCGTCTTTCTTGCTGTCAAAGGGGAAAGAGAAGCTTTTAAGAAACTGAGATGCTGAGAATACAAGGGGAATGAAAAGAAGCTTCCTAAGTCTTTAGACATCAAAGTCACAACAATAAATCTAGGTAGGTTCTTCAGACTGAAAAGCAAGACAGCAGCCACAGGTAGTCCTCAACTTACGACCAACAATTAAGCCCAAAATTTTTGTTGCTAAGCAAGACAGTTGTTGTGAGTTTTGACCCCATTTTACAACCTTCCTTGCCATATTTGTTAAGTGAATCACTGAAGTCGTTAAATGAGTAACACGGCTGTTCATGAGGATGCCCAGACACTGCAACTGTCATAAATACATGACAAGCTACTAAGGGTCTGAATGTGTATCACGGAACCATGGGAACATTGCAATGGTTGTACGTGTGAAAAGCAGTGATGTCACTTTTTTCAGCGTCGTAACTTCGAACAGTCACTAAATGAATGGGTTGTAAGTCTAGGACTACCCATAGTTACCGTATTTTCCGGACTATAAGATGCTCCAAAGTATAAGACACACCTAGCTTTTAGGGAGGAAAAGGAGAGAAAAAAAATCTGCCTCCCAACAATTTGCCTCCTTGCCTGGTCAGCTTCAGCACAGCCTGATTAGCACAAGCAGCTGATTGTCGGTTGGATTGATCTCCCGATGATCAGCTGTTTTAGGCTGCAGGGAATGCCATCGCCTATTGCCACCTGTGTGTGCCCCATTTTCGGCCTCTGCATCCCATTTTTGACCTCCATGCACCCTAATTTTGGCCTCTCAAACCCCATTTTCCGCTTGTTTTGATCCCTGCCGCCTGGAACGGGCGGAAAATGGGGCCTGCTGAAAACAGTATGCAGAGGCTGAAAATGGAGCACCTGGATGTGGCAATAGGTGATGGCGATCTATGCAGCGTGAAACAGCTGATCGTTGGGAGGCCGATCCAAACGACAATCAGCTGCTTCTGTAATCAGGCTGTGCTAAAGCTGACCAGGCTGTTTGCTGTTTGCTGCAAGGACGCAAATTGCTGGGAGGCAGAGGCCGGCAGGTGGGGATCAGCGGGTGGGCGGGGCTTCGGCAACATTCGCTGTATAAGACGCACAGACATTTCCACCCACTTTTTTTTGGGGGGGGGGAGTGTGTCTTAATACACCGAAAAATACGGTAATTCTATGCTTCTCCTGAGAAAATGGCCCGATCTACCAGATTACACTTCTCTATCTTATTATGCCATAAAAAGCAGTATCACCTGGATGTTACTGGTGGGAGAGGGGCTTTCCCCCTGAAACAGAACTTTGGATTCCACTTCTGTTCAAACCAGCAAATTTTGTCAAAGTGGAGCAAGCAACTGTCCACTTTGAACTCACCTTTTGGATAAACTTTTCCACCCTTCCCTGAAGGCCCCACCAGCGGAACTTCACAGTCACAAGTTTGTAGGCACACATGTGGGGGCAATTTTCATTATTGGCTAGTTCCCGCTAAAAGGAACAAAAAACAAATTAAAAAAAACAGGTGGGGGGAAGAGAGAGAATAAAATCAGAAGAATTACGGCAGAGCCAGGATGTGCTCCAAGCCAAAAGTGCATGTGACCTTTCATATAGCATACCCAAAGTCACACTTCTCCAAATGGATGAGCCAGAAAAACAAATGAAATGTCTAGAATACTCTACCTGACTCTGTGGTTTCTTCCCCAAACCCCAAGAACTTTCACCTTAGACTGTCTACTATTGACCTCACCCCTTTCCTAAGAGGTCTGTAGGGGGTGTGCATAAGCGCACCAATGTGCCTACCATCCCTGTCCTATTGTTTCTTTTTTATTTTTCTTATATGTATCCATTTCATGTATTCATAACTATGTTTATACTTATACCGATTATCTAATGTAAGCAATTGACAAATCAAATAAATAAATAAATAAATAAATTTCATGGATTTGGTTTGTAATTAGTTACAGGTAATCCTCGCTTAGTGACCACAATTGGGCCTGGCCACTCCATTGCTAAGTAGAAAATCACTTAATTGCAAAAGACTCTGAATGTCACTTCCCAGTTATTAAGTAAACTGCCAGTCATTGAGACATCATGTGACCAACAACCTGTGATTATATTCTGCATTCGCTCTGCTTGTCAGATGCTTGCTGTGAAGCAAATAAATGGCAAATGACAATGCTCCAAAGGTTGTAAATTCATCTCAGTTGTGAAGCTCCCAAATGGCAATCATGAGATGCTGGGATGGTCATAATTGTGAGACTTGGTCACAAAGCCAGTTTTTTTAAAAACTCTAATGGTTATTAAACAAGGCATTCAGCAAGCGAGGACTACCTGTACTATCATCTCATTGCAATCATGTATGGCAAGGGTCTTCAAACTTGACAGCTTTAAGACTTGTGGACTTCAACTCCCAGAATTCCTGAGTTAACATGATTGGAGGAGGAATTCTGGGAGTTGATCCACAAGTCTTAAAGCTGTCAAGTTTGAAGACCCCTGATGTATGGGATACTCCTTCTGACACAGGAAAGCATGCAGAGCACATGGAATTTATGGAGTAGGAAAGGAAAGAAGCCTTGGATGGGAGCATGCAGCATCATCTGAACTCAATTGCCTTTCCCATTATAGCGGGATACTGGGGAATTTTTCTAGACTTTTTCCTCTATAGCCCTTGGCTGGACCCAGCCCCATTTTAAACTCGTGCTGATTTCTCCCCCATTCCAAATTGGGCTCAGTTCTATTCAGAGTTTCCTGATGACAAACAGGTAGACTGAGTTACAAGCCACTTTATATAATTACCCATTTCCATCATTCTAATGAATTGGAAAGAATTCCTTTAAAAATTGTAATATCATTCAAGCTTGGAGAGGACATAGGTCTTCCCTGCCTCTCATGCTAGAAATTTAAAATAATGTTTCTCTTGGGTGAAACACCTGAGAGGAACCTGAGGGAGGCAGAAATAGCAGATAATAGTAAATTCAAATTTCCCACATGAATTTTTCTTATCCAGTTTGCATTTCTCAACAAATAATATACTTGGGGGAAAAAAACTTTATTCTTCCAGACAACCTTTCAAGCAAAGAAAAGCAAGATTACTTTTCTTTAAGGAGTTCGTGTTGGGCTGAGAAAGCAGTGGGTGATCTGAGACCATCAGATGTATTTTAAGGACAAGGCAATCAATCTAGATCTTCCCGCTATTAATCTGTCATCTCCATCCTGATGTTTTCCAGATGTAAGCTGGGCATGATGGGAGTTGAACAGCAGCATTTTCAGAAGGTGTCAAATTGTGGAAGGCTAGTCTAGCAAAGCAGGTGAGTTCTGTGGAATAACAACACCTCTAAAACATATGGGGCAGCTTAAGTGAGCCCAGTGTAAGTCTTATAGTTGTATGGAAAAAAGCAGGATTGATCTCCTATTTTGGATGAGAAACAACCTGATAATCATAAATACTTGGTTGGTCAAACCAAATCTGGGAGACTCTAGTGAGGTTACTTCCCATCAAACCTCTCTTGGAATTTAGAATGCCTGAAAGCTGGGGAGAGGGGGGAAGAGTTGGGAGGGAGGAGGGCAGGCAGTAAAAGATGTACTACAAAGCCAGTGTCCTTCTTTTCTTGGGATAGATATTACCTTCCAGTCAGGGCCGAGGGGACCTCTATCGGTCTTCAGAGATTTGAAAAGAGCTGGATCTTCATCTGGTTTGTAATCCTGAAAGAGAAAAGAGTTAAGAAAAGGTGGCAGCACGCAGGACAGAAATCCTAGCAAACAATGATGCGAGGAAGAATCCAGATATCTATTTTTTCCTCCATTCAGTAGATGACAAATTTTTTTTTTAAAAAATAGTCAGAACAAGTCAACACATCTCCTGCTACAATTGAGCAGAAACAACTAACTTACTGTAGTTTTTGGAGTATAAGACACTCTTTTTCCACCCCCCCAAAGTGGGTGGAAATGTCTGTGTGTCTTATACAGTGAATGTTGCCGAAATCCCACCCATCCGCCAGCCCCCACCCTTTGGCCTCTGCCTCCCAGCAATTTGCCTCCTTGCAGCAAACAGCCCGTTTCAGCTTCAGCACAGCACTGATTAGCACAAGCAGCTGATTGTTGGTTGGATCGGCCTCTCAACGACCAGCTGTTTCAGGTTGCAGGGATTGCTATCGCCTATTGCTGCACCCGTGGGCCCCATTTTCAGCCTCCACGCACCCCATTTTCAGCCTTCACATGCACCATTTTCCACCCGTTTTGATCCCCACTGCCCGGAATGGGCCAAAAATGGGGTATGTGGAGGCCAAAAATGAGCAATAGGTGGTGATCCCTGCAGCCTGAAACAGCTGATGGTCAGGAGCTAAACAGGCTGTGCTGAAGCTGACCAGGCTGTTTGCTGCAAGGAAGCAAATTGCTGGGAAGCAGAGGCAGAGGCAGATTTTTTTCCTCTCCCCAAAAGCTAGGTGCGTCTTATACTTCAGAACATCTTATGCTTCGAAAATATGGTAGCTATAGAGGAAGGTTGAAAAAAAGGCAATGTTTAACATCTAAAAGCCAGTGAAAAGCAAAAGAGACTGAGAATGATACCAGAACTTTAGCAAGCAGTTAGTGAAACTGGTATAAGTCTCATCACTGTTGCCACAAAAAATGAATTATCTGTAGCCCACAGGTGTTTTCCCAGTCCTCTTTTTATGACCCCAAATTGCCCTGCCTTTATCTCAGGTCACCCATCTTGCCAACTGTCAAGGAACAGCCCAGACAGTATCTTCTTACTTCATCTGATACTTGTGTCCGATCACCAATGTCTATGTGAACAATTTCCACATCTTTCCAAGTATCTGCATCCAGCCCATGGACCTGCAAAGGAGAAATTACAATTTCAGAAGTTTCTGACAATATCAAAGACAAATGATTCTGGAGAACTTCTGCTTATGTTTTATACATATTGTTTAGACAGTGACTGAGTTCACACCTCATAATAAGGAAGGCAACTTTTACTGGCTTTTGAGTAGGCTGCCTAGAATTGCAAAAAGAAGTGGGTGGGAATGCAGGCTAATTCTGTGGACTGCCAATTGCTGGCAGTTTGATCCTCACTGGTTCAAGGTAGACAGTCTTCCATCCTTCGGAGGTGGGTAAAATGAGGACCCAGATTGTTGGGAGCAATATGCTGACTCTGTAAACTGCTTAGAAAGGACTGTAACACACTGTGAAGCGGTATATAAGTGCTATTGCTATTGAATGTTAATTGTAATTAAAATGATTAATATAATTGCTCTCTGTTCATTAATTGAAAAATTATCATTAAATATTTTAAATGAAAAATGAATAATTCGCAGTTCCATAATTTACAGTTTGATAACAAGTTCTAGATATAGATCACCCTATGGCCGTTTATGAAGCACCAACAAATTACTTTAGTGAGTTTTTGCTCAGGTTAATGGCTATATATAGATCAGATAATCATGGTTTCAGAACATCCAACCAGTCTGAAACTATGTTTTTGCTGGCTCACTGATTATAAATATAGTATAATATGATGTATGAACAGGGTAAGTATTCATGATTTTTTTAATTCAATCATAGTTTGCTATAAGGTCTTTTTCAAGCATTTAACCAAGACATAGTTATGTAAATTAAGAGTTTTTTTTTTAAAAGGAAAAAAATTGGCATTAGCTAGGAAATTTTAAATGAACCATGGAAACTGTGCTTGTCTAAAAGACTAGTTTATATCTCTGGCTTCCTTAACAAAAGAAATATGGCTTGTGGGAATGCAGCGAGGATCTAAAATTGCTGCCAGATTTCTTTTAAAAATCTGTTGGGATCATCAGATACTCTTCTCTAACTGCCTTCCCTTAAAGAACAGGTGGGTGGCATATGGGAATGCTATCTTCTTGGAGACTTCTATCAACTTTTGGAATGTTTTGTCCAAGACTTTTTCCAATTTTTTTTCTATGACATATTGTCATTTCTATGATACATTCTATGATACCTTGCATTTTCTTGGACTTTTAAATAATTGATACTTTGAATGCTAACCTATCTAGGTTTTGTATTACTTCTTTTTGTATATTGCCCTATAGAATGTTGGGCTACTTTGTAAATCATGATAAAACATAATTCTTTTGATTTAGAGGTACTGTGTCAAGCAAGCTCTTGCCCCAGCTTCTTTGCTTTTTAAAAACATCTTTTTACTCTTAAGTGCTTTATTCCCTATTAAATGTGTCACACATTGCATGAAAATCTCAAGTTGATCCTCTGCCTAGACAACACAAGACAGTTCTGGAGAGAGAGTTTTATTTCTGGAAAACCAGACTCACTCCCTAAATAATCAAATCAGCCTTTTCCAGAACTCCCAAAGAGAAAACTGGCACGTTCCATGCCTTTAAAATTGAGTTTAACACATTCCTATTATAACAACACACAGTTCAACTGTAATTAAAGTGGATTTGCACACCATATTAAATACAAACCTGAATGCCTGGATTTGAACAATATGGCAAACCCCAAGGAAATAAAGCATAGTTTAATTTCCCATGTCACACTAAGCCAATAAGCATATAATCAGTTCAAAACCTCTCTTCTACATAATTAGCCAGGCGTGAAAATAAATGCTGATAGGGATATGTAAAGCTGAAATTCTGAACTGCAATGATTCAACTGTTCCAAAGGTTTTCTGGAAGCTAACAATACAGAATTAATCTGTGATGTTCTGAACATCCCTTAATCACTGATTAACCAGTTATATTTCTGGGTAATAAAACTTGAACCCAGCAATACAAGATCTAATTGCCTATACAAGTAGTCCTTGACATACAATTGAGCCCACAATTTCTATTGCTAAGACAGACAGATCAATGAGTTTTGCCCCATTTTACGAGCTTTCTTGCCCAAGTTGTTAAGTGAATCACTGCAATCGTTACAATTAGTAATATGGTTGTTAAGTGAATCTGGCTTCCCCATTGACTTTGCTTGTCAGAAATTTGCAAAAGGTGATCACATGATCCTGGAACATTACAACCATCATAAATACTTGCCAGTTGCCAAGCGTCCAAAGTTTGATCATATAACCAAAGGGATGCTGCAATGGTTGTAAGTCTGAAAAATGGTCAGAAGTCACTTTTTTCAGTGCCTCTATAACTTTGAATGTTCACTAAACAAATGGTTGTTAAGTCGAGGACTACTTGTATAGAACAGAGTTCGTTAGGATTAAGGCACACCAATTCTTTGCACAAACGATCTGTTAAGATTTGCATGCTTCCACTTACATTTTCTTGTTCACCTAAATCCGGTTTGTGCCATGTTTCAATTTTGACAAAGAAATCATCCTTCATGTACTCGTTCTATCAAAGAGAAGGAAAGAAGGTTACAAGAATTATTGGTGCTGACAATAGAACCTGCAAACACTTAGGCCACATAGCACTTGTCAGGGATATGTTACCTTAAAATCCCCTGACTCAATTTATACAATTATGAATTGACTGTAATGATTCAATTCATAGAACCAATAAACCCCATAGGAGGGTATTAGAGCAGGGGTCCTTTATCCCTGGTCTGTGGGCCAGATCTGGGGCCCATTGGGAACCGGTGCATGCAAGGGGCAAGGAGCACGGGAAACTCCATTTGTGCAAACAACGAGAGCGCGTATGAAACTGTCCCCTCTCCCACTCACCCTGCCGCCAGCAGTTCGCATAGCCAGAAAGGTTGGGGACAGTGGTATTAGAGGAAACAGATGTGCTCATAAGGCTAGGGACGTTTTGTGGGTGGGGAGGAATAACCAGGGAAAATACCCCCTTCTAGAGCTACTCATTTCCGAAGTCACTTACCGTAATAACTGCAGCAGATGAGGCCAAAATAAGGGAAAAAGACAAAAAGCATATTAGTGGGCAAAACAGAAAATCTTGCTAAATTACATCTTATTATTTTCCCCATTAATAAAAGTACATTAATAACGATGCATTCTAGAATCCAGCAGCCAGTAAGCAAGAGGCTACAGGCATCAGAGCCGAGAAGGTCGAAATGGCAAAATGGGGAGTGTTTTTGTGTCCAAGCATTGCATTTAATTTTGGGGGGAGGGCTCAGGGCCCACTGGTCTGAAGGATGATGCCAAGAGAACAGGCTACATAATTCAGATCCTGGATTTTCTATTTTTTTCCTGGGTTACAGGGTTTGGACACTTTTCTTTCCTTTTTAAAAAACTATGCTAAACTTTTATTATGGATTTCATGTTGCTGATTTTTTTTTTTTAGTCAAATGCATATGGAAAAAGGCCACAGGTGGCCAATCCAAGGTATTGAGAATTAGCAGGCTCGTGTTCATGTGATGCTAACAACATAGGAAGTGAATTGGAGAATACAACAGGAATGATCTCATGCCCTTCTAAATGCTCCATTGCCCTCTTTGCCAATTTTGTAGGTCTTTGGTATTTTCAGATTACATGCAGTAACAGTGACAACAATAAACTTAAACGGAGAACTGTTTGCAAATTATGCCAAGCTCCATTCACTGAACAAGCAAGGTTATGGCGAATGGGTGCTCCCTGAGTCCTCTGTCAAGACACTGTCTACTTGCCATTGGGAATGTACAGGTAGTCCTCTACAACAGTTCATTTAGTGACCATTCGAAGTTACAGTGGTACTGAAAAAAATGACTTACAATCATTTTTCACACGTATGACCATTGAAGTATCCCCATGGTCACATGATTTGCATTTGAATGCTTGACAACTGACCTCACATTTATGACGGTTGGGATATCCCAGGATCATGTAATCACCTTATGCGACCTTCTGACAAGCAAAGTCAATGGGGAAACCAGATTCACTTAGTGTTACTAATTTAACAACTGCAGTGATTCACACTTAACAGGTGTGGCAAGAAAAGTCATAAAACGAGACATGTCACTTAACTAATTTCTCGCTTAACAATATTGGGCTCAAATTTTGGGCTCAGTTGTGGTCGTGAATTGAAGACAAAATAAAATTGCCTTATTCAATGAAATATGGAAGTCTGAATGTTTATTTGAATTACACAGCTTCCATCCAAGATGGCGGCACGCGCAGACACTGCAGCTTTGAGTTGCTGGTGTTATAATGCAGTGGGCAAAAACTAGTCTATACTGGTTGTCATCCGATTTGGTCATGAACAGAAGTGTTTGCAACCTAAGATTCCACTGTATTTTTCTAACCAATGCTAGATCCTTTGTCAACAAAATTGATAAACTAGAGCTATGAATGGCAGCGAATAAGCTCATTTGTGACTGTTGTGTGATGATTATCATGAAGACCTGGCTTCATCCACTTGTACTAGATGTGTCAGTGGAACTAACTAACTGTACCACACACTGCTTCGACAGAAACGGCAATTCAGGTAAAAGCAAAGGTGGAGGACTTTGTATTTACACACATAATGACTGGGGTACTAACAGTAGAGTTACTTATACACACTGTTTTCCCGATGTGGAGTACTTGTTATTTGTCGGCCATTTTATTTACCTTAGGAGATTTCTGTTATAGTTATCACCACTGTCTATATTCCACCTGATGCAAATGTTAGCGCAGCGCTCTCTAAGTTACATGATGCCATCGAGAGGCAGCAGCAAACTTACCCCGAGGGCGCTTTTGCCGTATTTTGTGTTTTGGGGGAGCTGCACCAAGGGAGACTCATTCAATTTCATTGTACACATGTGCATTGACAATAAAGGTTTGATTTGATTCGATTTGAAAGTCCATAATTTATTTCTGCCAATACTAAAGGTGTCTCTTTTCCCCTCCTGCAGGCTTACCCGTCCGACAGTAAGGATAGGCATTCCAGGCTCTTTCGTGGACAACAAGGGACCCCTCTGGGGCAAACATCTTGATGAATCCTGGAACTTTGCTGCAAGAGAAAAAAGCAAGGGAAGCCTTCAGATCATCCAGCATCACCATCACCTGTCCATACCCAGGATGGTTCTTACCTCTGAAGGTGGTAGATCTTATGGGTGTACTGCCCCTGCTCCCCCTCATGTTGGTAGGGTTCATTTTTCAGCACCTCGATTCCTTCACCACCACCAGTGTTGTTCTTACTAGCCTCAGCCACGGAAAATAATTGTCCCACTTGATACTGTAGATGGCAAAAAGATACGGGGGGGGGGGGGGGCAGAGAGTGGTAAAATTCTGTTTTCCCTGAGGAAAAGGAAAGGCTACTTTTTGTTTGTGAGTGAAGGGCAAAGCAAGCCAGAGTATGGCTAATTCTGGACCATATTATAGGAGCCCTATGGTATCTTTATCAGTGGGGCTAAGAAGGTTGTGGAATTCCCTCAGAGCAACATTTATAACTCACCTCTTCTACGGAGCAAGGTAGTACCACCCGACTGGATTTTTTTTGTTGCAGGGGAGGAAAAGAAAGAGAAGAAAAATAGTTAGATTTTCCTAATTTTCAGTCCCTCTCACCACTACTTTTTATATAAAAAAGTGCATGAATGTACTCATACAAATACAGTTTTTAGGTAGAATAGAACCAGGAGTTTGATCCTGACAGGCTCAAGGGTTCGTCCTTCCGAAGTCAGTAAAATGAGGGCTCAGATTGTTGAGGGTAAAATGCTGACTCTGTAAACTGCTTAGAGTGTGCTATAAAACACTATGAAGGGTGATATAAGTCTAAGTTCCATTGTTATATTTTATCAACAGCTCAACTGTGATCACTGAATTATCTGAGCTACGAAGGATTCTTCACAAGTCTGCTTACCAGACCAGACAGAACAGATTAAGATTAGATTTTTATTGTTAATTTGCTTTTAGTAGATCTCACAAGAAAAAAAAAACTTTTACAGAACATGATCCTTTTTATTCTTCTGCAATAAATATTCCCATTAATCACTAGAATATTTATTCTAATCTTTCCTGCCTAAAGAGACCCGAGATAAGGACCTTTCAAATTATTTTGCTTCAACCACAGAATTTTACAGTGCATACAGATAACTACATATTTCCACCTTTTTTTTAACATTAACTCCCTTTTAACTCCCCTCCCTTCTTTGCATTAAATTGCTACATAGAAATAGTTATGTACAATTTTGATTGCTAGCACTAGAAGCCATCTGGAAACTTTTTAAAGGATGTGACTATATCCAATGGATAAAATCCATAACTATATTAAGTTACAAAGCAATTTATACTAGATCCTACAGTTCAATTGATGGAGATTATTATTGCACATTGCTTCCCATTTTAAAAAAAATGTCAAAGCAATTGTAAACATATATATGTAGGGCACAATTGGTTTCTATTAAACTCTGAACAGGAGGCTTATTTACAGAATTATCATAAACTCAGTGGGTCAGCAGTCACTTCTCTATGCTTATTAGATTTGCAAGGCCATCTCACTGCCATGTGACTTAAGGAAGAGGACAAAAACTGTTACAAATACCAAATAACGATAAAGTAACAGAAATAAGAAATTATCCCCATTTTACTTCCACATGAGCTAAGGAAACTTGTTGCCCCAAGGGGTTTTATTTAATTGTAGTAAATAATACACTGGTTTAGGGTTTTGAGAGGACAAATGACTCGATATTTGTGAACCAGAAATTGTGTGTCCTTTTGCACAGGTGCCTAAGAAGCACAACAGATCATTGAAAGGTTTGAAATTTGAAGCATGCATGTTTAAATATTTATTACGTGTGTTAAGGCCATCTGATTCAAAAAGAGAGTCTAGGCAGCCTGCAAAAAATCAAATATAGACCAAAAACAAAGTAAAAAACCTATCCAGACAAGATAGCAATAATAACATTTAGAAAATACAAGTCCACAATCAAGCCAACCCCTAACTTAGCAATCCTAATTATCAACCAGGCAAGAACAAAGTTATTACCAACTTTTTTAGTCTTTATGAACCCACAGAATAAAGGAAAAATCTCTGAATCCAATTTGAATCTTAGTGGTTTCATAACTATTTTAATTAGGATTTCTTGGACATGATCAAAAGGTGGTGATAATGCATTATTCTGGGATTTCTTTTTCAATTGTCTAACCTATCACAATATGGCGGTATTTCCTGTTGGCTCTCCCATGCACTAGCCTGAGTCATCTTAGATAGACTTTTGAGCATGAAAGCAATACAAATATATTCCTTTAATTAACTGTATTCAGAACATCTTGTTTTTTCCACAGAGAAGATCATGACAGCAGTTCCTACAATCAATATAAGATTGTAGAGTGAATGTTGAATCGTATTGTTATGTCAATTAGAGCAGGATTTCTTAATTTTTTCTCTGTCTCAGGATCCTTTCCACTTTTAAAAATGATAGGGGACATTGAAAGAGGTCCTGTTTGTATGGATGATATTTATCAATATATATTATATTAAAAATTAGAATTGACTTATTTGCTGCCACTATTGCTTCTCATAATTATTTGATGGGATTTTAATTTGTATTTTTTAACATAGGCTGGCAACAATTTAGATTTTGCAGATTCCTAAAAGGATCTACAGCAGGGTTGTCAAATTCCCAGTCCACGGGCCGGATGCGTCATGCACTGGCCATCCCCACCCGCAGTTTAGGAAAGGGGAAAAAAAGTCACGATATGTCACGTGACTATGACATGAGTTTGACACCCCTGATCTAGAGGGTCTCCTCAGGGATTCTTGAACCACATTTTGAGAAACACTGATCTAGAGGCATGCATATATACTTAACCAGAATAGAACACAACATTTCAGACTAAGATCACACATTGTTTGCTTAACCATAGTCTACTGACTAATGTACAATTTGCTGAATTCACACAAAATGCTAAACAAATGATTGTTTATAAACAATGGCTGAGTTCACACAATACTAAATCAAAACCAATACATCTAAATTAATACTCTGTGTAAATCACACTTCACTGTACATGTCTGTAAAATGAAATGTGTGATATAGCCACCCTAGCTGAGAACTGTGAAGAATATTAATTATAAAATCAGGGATCAGAAATTATGGCTCAAATCTCACTAAATTAGACTCCAACTTCTATAAACTCCCAACCAAAATAGCCAGTAACTGATTTGATGGGAAATATAATTCAACATCATCTGGAAGTCACAGGTTGCTAATTTCTATTGTAAAATACAACTGAATACATATTATTCAGAACCAAGACCATTGGGTTGAATGGGACAAACATTCCAGGACTGCAATCTTTCTAATCTAAAATCCTCTGAGATTCTATTGCTTAAGATGAAACAGAAACATAAGAGTTTCATTCTTACTATCTCAAACATTCTTATTATCTTTTCTCTTAAGATTTCCTACTATTATCTGTGCTGACATGTTAGCAAAGAAAAATATGTTGCAAACTTCCCCCTATACTGCCTAAGCATGATTTGCGGTGACACTTTACATTTGCAAATGTCTGGATTTATTCTAAGTTCCGTTAAATCTATTCCTAAAATACAGCAGTTTCTAGATTGAAAAAAGGCAGCCAAGAAACTATTGTGATACTCCCTAATGACCTCTCCTATATTTCTTACTGAAGATTAGTAAGAAATTATTGATGTTGGGAGGGTGTAATTTAGAAGAAAATATCTTCTCTGAAAACAAGGAATGAGTCAGTTCTAAGAAGCAGACAACCGGCTGTGTGGCAGTGTGTTATTCTTAGTCTCCTCAACTGGATGCCATTTGTAAGAAGGAAAGAGGCTGGAGGAATAGTGGTGCTTTCAGTAGTGGTGAGACACAAGAGGAATGATGGCTGGGAATAAAGAAGTTTTAATCCAATCCTTCAGTTAAGGCTGTTTAGAAAACAGGAAAAAAGTGCTACTTTGAACTCAAAGTAGTCAAAGAGCCTATTGTATCCAAATGTCAGATCTAAACTAAGGTTGGTAATATTTTCACAGCATCCAAAATATAACATAAAATAGTTCTGGACTATATAACCGTTAGGTGCTACGTAAAACAGTCAAATAAAAGGGGGGGAGGGCTAATCGTGTACAGCGGCTCCTGCGACCCTCAGTTACCTATCCCTCTTTTTATGAGCCCGTCCCACCTTCCCATTAACCCTTTCCCCCCTGCGCACCTCTCACCCACCCCTGCCCCTCCAGTACTTACAACTCTTTAATGAGCACCATCCCTCACACCCTTCCAGCGCCTCACACGCCCAAAGCACTGTACCTTCTCTTCCTGGTTCCCCCCCTCCCCGGCCATTGACGCCATTTCCGCCCTCACTCCAGCCGCCACTTGCCCAAACCAGCCCCTTACGACGCCATTTCCGCCCTCAACCAGGCTTCTTTTTTTTTTCCGGCAGAAGCCGCCGAAGCAATGAATGGGTTGCTGCTTTAGGGCGACGTGGATTGGGGGTGGGTCTTCCTGCCTCTTGATTGACAGGGCGGCCAATTCCGGAAAACGAATGCAACAGGCCACCTCGCAAGGAGGCCTGCGCGCAAGTGTATTGCAGGGTCATGTGAGGATTTCACCCTGAAAGACAAAAGCGGGCGAGTTCCGCTGCTGTTATGTCTAGGAAGGTAATCGCTTTTAGAAAACACTGAGCCACGCAGTACAATGTAAAAAAAGATGTTGAGACTCTAGAAAGAGTGCAGAGAAGAGCAACAAAGATGATTAGGGGACTGGAGGCTAAAACATATAAAGAAAGGTTGCTGGAACTGGGTATGCTCAGTCTGATGAAAAGAAGTTCTAGGGGTGACATGGTAGCAGTGTTCCAATATCTCAGGGGTTTCCACAAAGAAGAGGGAGTCAAGCTATTCTCCAAAGCACCTGAAGGCCATACAAGAAGCAATGGATGAAAATTAATCAAGGAGAGAAACAATCTAGAACTAAGGAGAAAATTTCTGACTGTCAGAACATTGAATCAGTGGAACAAACTTGCCTCCAGAAATTGTGGATGTTTCAACACTGGAAGTTTTTAGGAAGAGATTGGACAACCATTTTTCTGAAATGATATAGTTTTTCCTGCCTGAGAAGGGGGTTAGAATAGAAGACCTCCAGGGTACCTTCCAACTCTCCTGTTCTGTTGTCTTTGTTTTGAACTAGATCATGGTAGCCTCAAGATGTATTGAATGCTCATGTTCATTATCCCCTATTGGCTTGGTCCTACTCCCCTTTGAGCCCCAAAACAAGGCAGGGGTAATGCAAGAAATAGTGTTGTGTTCACTATTGCTTAATGTATCACTGAACATCTGTTTGGTCATTTTTGATTGTGCTTTGTTTCTTTGGCTTAGTACTTTGTGTGAACCCACCTTCAGGTGAATAAATTCTTCAGCATATTACATAAACATGAAAAATTGGTTGATTTATTAATCAGATTAAGAAAGTTGAGTGAGGGCAATCAATAACAGTTGATATATGAATCTATTCTGCTTATAATCCACTGGTTATAGTCCACAGTGGTAACCAAGGCAGTCAGTGCTGGGTGACACCCTAGTTAGAAATGGCTCTTACCTTGCCTATCTCTGCTTTATGATAATCTCAAGGATGCATGATGCTCCAACAAGCAAGCTTTGAGTGCCACACTTAAGCCTGGGGGCGCCTGTATCTCTCTAGGTCTTGGACCGTATTTCCCATCCATGGAATTTGAAATCAAATATTTGTTCTCTCTTTATTTTTTAGATCAGGAGTTTCAAACTTTTCCAAGCTATGGAATGTTTAAAAAAATATCCAAGAATCCCTGATTGAGGAGCAAGACTTATGAATGTCAGCTAAGACAGGGGTCGCCAACCTTTTGGACCTCAGGAACCACCAAACTCATAATTTTAAATCCCAGGGACCACTAACCGATTCTGTGGGCATGGGCTAATTTGTGGGTGTGGCTTGGTGGTCATGCAACTGGCTGGGCATGGCTTGTATGTAAATATTATAAATATATAAATATTGATTTTTTTTATTAAAAAAGAGCAACTTTTAACTCCTTTACTTGCTTGCTTTCCAATTTGATGCTTAGTAAGTACAGCTATATATTTTCTTTATTATTTTTTCATCCATCCCAGTTAATATCTGGTCCAATTCTTTTAATTCTTTGTTAAAACCATTTTAGCATCTTTTTCATATTGAGATTGTATATGCACTTGTGGCCACCATGCTATATCCTTCCCTTGACTACTCAGTTCTTGCTTAGTTTTTAATTCCCCCTTTTCCATTCAAAATATCTGTATATCTTATAATCTTTTCCATATTAATAACATTAGGATGTATCAACGCTTCCATTGTGGATAGCCAGACTGGTATTTTCAAATAATATTGTTCTTTAATTTTTACCCATACTGATAGTAATGCATTTCTAATATAATGTCTTTGAAAATAGCTATGTATCTTATTTTCCCCATACCATAAGAAAGCATACCAACTTAATTGAAGAGTGTACCCTGCTAAAGTTAATAGTATTTTATGCATCAAATTAATCCAGTCCTTCACCCAGGTAAGTACTGAGGCCTGATTATTAAAATTCCCAATGTGGCAACCCAAAGCCTCTTTTTTGGAATCTTGCAACATTTTCAAGCTTATTCTTGTTCTTATTTTGTTCTGTTTTCCAATGGAGACCACCATTTCTCTGCTGGACTATATATTATTTTCAATGTCAATAGCAAACTGGAAGACATACCTTCTGTGATCAATAGGCAAAAAAAAATAATCTTTGCCTGAGACTCATTTTGAAATGAGAGTTCTATGGGAGCTTAGAACTCATGCTTTGTTTATTATGAGGCTGGCTCCAGGAGCCTTCTACTCCTGGAAAGAAAATGGGGTGGTGGTGGTGGTGGTGTTTGCTTCTATATGTTAGGTGTCAATTAAAGAGATGTGTTAAAAAAAAACAACCTAGAAGATTCCTGTGTAATCTGAAGCCCTTATAAGCTCTTGTAGCAAGCCAATTGCTCAGTAAAAGACTTCATGAAAACATCCAGAGATTAAATACTCAAAAGCCTCCCTGGGTGTTTCCGTGTCCTGACACTCCAATTGGTTGGTAAACAATGGGTTGGGCTTATTGAAATAACAGAATGCAAAGAATTTCCGTAGTGCTGAACTCCCTGAGGCAATACTAATGAAGTGCTTTCTGGAATGAGATAAAAAGGCTGTGAAGCAAAAAGTGCCTACAGTCAAGGTGGAGTGAGGACAGCTTTCCCTTGAGAGAATAACTTCAGAAGATCTTTCAGAAGGGAGCTCTTATTTACTCAGAGAAGAACTGTACAACTTTCAACCCTGAAAAGGCATCATGGCTGAAAAACTGGACTACAATGATATTTTACATAAGTATTCACATCTCTTTTATAGGTATCCGCTGAGGCTGGTCCATGGAATCCCCCTGATGGAACCTATTGCAAATCAGTGGGATCCCATTGAAAACTTCCAGGCAAGACCAGATGACTTAATCATCTCGACTTATCCTAAAGCAGGTGAGATGTTATGGGGCAATAAAATAGAGGGAAGGTGGCAAGAACAAAATTCAGGTTAATAAAGAGAAAAATTGAGCACTGATCGCACAAAAATGTAACAAGCCAATCTTCGAGGTGGAAGTTTTGTTCGGATGTGACAAAAAAGCTCTTAGAACTGGGACAGGGGGTATGTGCTGAAAAACCGAGAGTAATGCATTTTTCCTTGCACCTTTTAAATCCTTTTTGGCTGAAAGATTGTCTGCTAACAGATATATTTTTCATGAGCACGTCTAGAGTTAAGTAGATTTCCCACAAGAGAGTCTGTGCTTTTGTTTTGATAATGCTGGAATTGCACATTAGGATAAACTAGAAGCAACTATTCTGGCATGAGTTTCATAAATGGTGTTTATATGGATTAAATGTCATGTGATACTTCTCAAAGACATAAAACCAGCCGTTTTATAGAAATAGAACACAAGTTTGATTTTTTTTTTAAAAGTCTGCTCTCATGGTTTTGCTTTTCAACACATTGAATTGTCTCAGAAATGAAAAGGTTGAAGGTTGTCAATAGGAAACTGTAAGTTTTTAATTTGTACACTACTATTTCAAAATGCATGAAAGAGAGGAATGGAGAAATATGGAACTGTTGTAATCATGAGACATTTTTCTATTCTGTATTCTCTAAGTTTCTTTAGATGACCTCAAAAGCAATGAATGCTTCCATTCAGGAAACTTCATTCTTCATTATTTTTCCATTTATACTTTCCAACAAAACATATCCTGTTTACAAGCATATGCTAAGTCCTAACTAGGCTGTTTGGTTCCCTCCCCCATCCACAACATTTACTGTAAGCTATTTTTCCAAAAACTATTTTTATTTTCACAAATCTTGGATTCCCTCCAATTCTGCTGATACTTTTTTGTTCTGTGCAGGTGGTGCTGTTTTAATTCATATGAAATGGAATATTTATTTGCGCTGCTACACGCAATAGTGCATTTGTAGAATGATGAATATTAATATTGCACCATTTATACAATTTAGAATATAGGCAGTATATAAGGGGTGGGCCCATTGTCATGAATTGTAGGGGGGGAATAAAGGGTTTGTACTATTACCAAGCAATTGTCCAAATTGTTTCTGTCCTCTGGTTTTTCAGGTACCACATGGATGCAAGAAATTGTGGATCTAATACTAAACAAAGATGATTTGGAAAAGACACACAGGGCCCCCATACATGTGCGGATCCCATTTTTAGAAATCTGCTCTCCACCTCCTATTCCTTCTGGTAAGGGCAGGAAGTATTGTGATCTTGATATCCAGCCCTAGACCTTGGCTGCTAGACTGATATTGTGTTCTACCCTGCTTCTTCTTCCTCAGGAGTTGATACATTGGTGAATGTTCCATCTCCTCGTGTGATCAAGACCCACCTCCCCTTCCAGCTCGTCCCTAAAAGCTTTTGGGAAAATAATTGCAAAGTAAGTTCATTTAAGACTCCCTCGTATCTTTGTCTCATTCCTCAGCCCTAATCTACTGTCTCATGCATATCATTCTCTTTTCTGTCCCATTACAGATGATCTATGTTGCTCGCAATGCCAAAGATAATCTGGTATCCTATTACTTCTTTGAACAGATGAATTTAACCCAGCCAGATCCAGGGTCCTGGGAAGAATATCTTACAAAATTCATGGAAGGCAAACGTGTGTTGAAACCAGGCATATCTTTCTAAGTCTTTAGAGTTGCACTACAATTCAAAATATCTGGGGACTGGGATTTGCCTCCTTTATATACTTCTCTTAAGGGACAGTTGATTGATTTGGTCAATATATTGGGGAATCCAACAGCTGAACCTTTGCTGAAAATACTTTTATGGGAAATATTTCTACAGTCTATACACTTGGCTCCCTTCCTTAGCAGGTGTTAGATGAGAGTATTTAGTTAGTCCCATTTATCTGAATTAATTAAGCAATAGTGTATAGATTTAAAGGCAAAGGTGATTTATAGTACCATGATGCAACCTACAAAGCTTGCTCAGCAATTCTTTTGAAATATACCTTTGAGGAATTTGTAATATCAATTTGGCTAAGCTACAAGGATTTGCAATAGCTTATTGGAAAATCGATTTTATGTTTGCTGAAGGCCAAAATTGGATCATACCATTAGCTCCTTGCCAGTCTTATGAGATGCCACCACCAAAATTTTGTTTTGGGACACAGGTTCTTCATGGGCAGTTTCTTCTTACTTAGACCCTGGAGATGAATAAAGATGATGCCAGAATTCTGTTTTTGGAAGCAGAGAATTGTAATGTTAGGCCAGTGAACTTTGCCTTGTATAGCAGTGGTCCCCAACCTTTTTTGTACCAGGGACCAGTTTCAAGCACAAACACTTTTTCAAGGACCGGGGGGGAGGGGGGGAGAATCCGAGTTTGGTGGTTTGCTTGCAGACATTTCATTACCTGACTAGGTAACATCTGATGTTGTTACCTAGTCGGGTAATAAAACGTCTGCCAGAAAACCACCAAGTTCAGGGAGTGCCTCGGCCCTGCCTCCCTCAGCCCCATCCCTCAGGTGTCTCCCTCCCTCCCTCAGGTGTCTGCCTTGTTCCTCTCTCAGTCGCTCTCTCGCTGCTCCACCAGCCCAGGAAGAAACTGCTTCAAAGAAGCCGGGGGGGGGGATGGCTTTTCCTGTCGCCGCAGCTCCTCCGAAGCGCCCGTTTACCCCCACCCCGCCGCCTGCCCGCGGTTCAATCCACAGTGCTCTGTTCTGCCTGCCTGCCTGCCTTCTTCATTTCGGAGCAGCCGGCTGATAAAAAGAGGCAAATAGTTATGTTTCTCAGCCGAAGCTGCTCCGAAACGAAGAAGGCAGGCAGGCAGGCAGAACGGGGCACTGAATTGAACCGCGCGCAGGCGGGCGGGGTGGGGGTAAACAGGCGCTTCGGAGGAGCTGTGGCAACAGGAAAAGCCACCCTCCCGGCTTCTTTGAAGCAGTTTCTTCCTGGGCTGGTGGAGCAGCGAGAGAGCGACTGAGAGAGGAACGAGGCGGGAGGAAACCGAAGCCTCTGAGCCAGAGAGCAGGACAGGCTTCGGTTGCTTCCTCCCTCCCCTTCTTTCATTTGTGTCCTTGATCCCCAATCCCAGCAGCATTCACCGAAGGCGAAGAAAGCCGCCATTTTTTAATTTTTTTTTTATTTGCGGCCCGGTACAGAGTGCTCCACGGACCGGTACCAGTCCGCGGCCCGGTGGTTGAGGACCCCTGTTGTATAGAACTCTTTTTGAATATCTACTTGGAAAATAAGAAATGCTTTTTTTTAATGTCTAGTGCAACATCTTTTTCCATGTTGCTCTTGTAGTCTGGACCAGTCTCATTTTTGGGCCAATCTCAGTCTTATCTGGCCAAGTTTTCTCCTGTTTGATAACATCTTTTAAATTCAGTCTAACTATAGAGGCAGACAATTATTGTCCAGATCCATTGTTCAAATATTGTATCTTTTTTTTCATTCTGCATTAGTAAATCAATTTTAAGTGTTCATTTCCTTAATTTAATCTTGATAATTCTAGTTCTGATGTTCAACCATCAAAGTCACACCCTATCATGTTTGGGTTTGGAAAAAAAAATCAAAGCAAAAGTATTTTCCTGCAGGAAGGTTTCTTATAATTAATTCCAAAATCCTATTTCAAATTCATCTGGACCCCTCAATCCGCTTGTAACTTTATAAAATCAAAGTTCCAATTAATCTTTTGCTGTTTATTCCCCCCTTCAAACTACTGAAGTCCTTAAACTTGCATTTAAAACTTATTTTACTAATAATTGAAGGAAATTCACCCAGAACTGTAAAATACTGGTCCAAAAATTCCTAATAGCTGAAAAGTAGTCAACAAGTGATTTTCAGAGTAATTAGAAAAGGAAGTACACAAAGCTGGTGTCTTTTTAAAAGGCGCTCATCAAGGTTTGAAAAAGATGGCTATTCTCTCATCTCCAAGAGTTCTAAATCCGCCAGAGACTACTGTCTTGTGGCCTGTTCATGAGGAGCAACTGTATGGAGTACTTGTGGATAATCTCAAATCCTTTCCGTACCCAGAGATGAATTGCAAAGAGTTCATCTACTCACTAATTCTTCATTCAGCCATGATTATTGGCTCTGTATTCCGTTTATCATTGTTTCTGTGGGCAATCTACTTCTAATATTTTGCCATGAAAAATGCAAGAGATTTCCTGGCAGTCATGAGGAGTCAAAAATGGCTTAAAGGTTCACAAATCAAAAAACAAAGTATCATTCAGAAGTTTCTTAATTGTTATCCACACCCTTTTTTTCATAAGCTGATTTTCTCTCATGTGTTTCCTGCTCTGTTATCAACCCTTTAAATCACTGGGTTTAATTTTATGTGCTAAAAAAATTAGCAGTGCCAACTGCTATTAAGGGATTTAATGTCTCTAAAAACCTTTCAGGAGTCACGTATGTGTGAGTTTCAGGCTATATTGTGTACCGAATTTTAATTGTTCAAAAACCCCATCCTAAGGTGGTTTTTTTTTTCACTGCAGCACTGTTGGCTCAGTATCCAATATTTTTTTTATTGGAAACCGCCTTATATAACTAGGAGACCATTGCTTTTCTAGTTGACCCTTGTTCCAATGATTGACCCTTGTTCCAATTACATTTGAAGTTCCAGAAAGAGAAGAATGTATTTCAGTCCATTCTGGAGATATGAAATCTGGAACCCCAAACTCACTTAACCAGTTTAACCTGCTTATAAATAATCTTTTTTTTTTTTATTTCTGCAAAACACTGAGCCATAGATCAGTCAAAAAGGTTACCTTCAAAAGTTGTGGGAGCTGCATCACTGGAGACTTTCAGGAAGAGACTGGACTGCCATTTGTCAGAATTGGGGTAGGGTCTCCTGCTTGGGTGAGGGGTTGGACTAGTTGACCTACAAGGTCCTTCCAACTTGGTTAATCTATAATCTAAATGGTCTGTGTATTTAAGTTTCTGAAAACAGCCAAAGTTGAAAATAACCAAGCTTAGCATGGTGTATAAATGCAGTTTCTAAGCTTGTATGAAAACAATCTTAGGTGCAGAAATGATGCACTCACAATAGCCTTTTCTCATCTATAATTATTTAAAGTAAGAGTTTTATTCTGTTTTGTATTTGATTCCTCTTTCCATTTCTCTTAAAAACCGGTTTCTGCTAGGGAATAGTTCAAATGTTGTTTGAAGAAGAAAATGTTGGCAAAAGTTATAATTTTAGGTAGAAGGGTTTCAATTAGGGTTGTAATAGAGCAGATTGATCCACTATACACACAGAAAAACTTTCAATTGCATAAGAAGCATGTTTGTTTTTCATTTTTTAAATGTAAGTAACTTTTAGAAATCACCATTCTCATCATCCATTCTATGCTTCCTCTCAGGTGATGCTATTTAGTTAAAATTGTGCAGGTAAGCTTGATAAAAAATATAAAGTGTTTACAGAAGCATATATTCATCTATGCAAATTTAATTAAGTAATGCAGTGATAAATGAATTAAGATTCTAGTATATGTACAGCAAAGGGAGGGATTTTTTTGTGAGGGCCTACATTATCATTTGAATAATCTTTCAGGGTCAACTGAAAATGGGAAGGGTAAGAGCCATACAGACATCTCTCTTGCATATTCATTTATGCCCAATTTACCTCTCTGCCACTTGTAATCGCTCACTCATTGTAGGTAGTCCTCAACTTATAACCATTCACTTAGTGACCGTTCAGAGTTTCAGCACTGAAAAAAGAGACATGACTAGTTTTCACATTTATGACAGCATCCCCTGGTCAAGTGATCAAAATTTGGGAGCTTGGCAACTGGCGTGTATTTATGGAATAGCAATGGCAATGGCAATAACATTAGGCTTAGACTAACATACTGCCTCATAGTGCTTTATAGCTGGCTTGCAACAAGCAAAGTCAACAGGGAAAGCAAGATTTGCTTAATGACCACATAATTCACTTAACAACTGCAGTGATTTCATTTAACAACTGTGGCAAAAGTTGTAAAATGGGGCAAAACTCCCTTAACAAATGCCTTCTTAGCAATGGAAATTTGAGGCTCAATTGTGGTCACCCGTATTTCCTCACTTCCACTCTTCCATTCATTCATGCTCCTTTCTGAAGTACCTTTCTGTTGTTTCATATAAATCTGTCATCCTTTTGTTCTTTTTCATGCCTTCCTCTCCTCCCATAGAAATACATTCTGTACTTATATCCCAACACAGCATGTAAAGGTATCTCCTTTCGTTTTTACTTTCTGTCTACTCCACCCAACTCAAAGCCTAATTACCATTGTTTTCCCAATTACTTCTCTCTACCACATTTGCTTTGAAAACCTTATTGGGATATACGTGCCATTGATTCTTGTGAGATTGACAGGTAAGCGACCATGCATTACTGCATTGCTGTTGATGAATTGGTTTCATTAAATGATGATCTTTCTTCTTTTGTCCATCTTACTTTGTGACTTAGTTGCCTGGGGATCTTGGTATGATCATGTGCGGCGTTATTGGGATGAGAAAGATAATCATCGTATTCTCTACATCTTCTATGAAGACATGAAAAAAGTAAGTTCCAAATAGTGGAGAAACTGAATCCATATGAGGAAGTTCCAATTGGTGGAGAAATCCTTTAAGTGTTGTGCAATCTTAGGGATTAAGCAAAGATCTGTCACAGTTTCTTAGTAGTATCAGTAGGTTATTGCTTTCATGTTCTGGTTCAGAGGTATAGCATTTCATTGGCTATTGTGGAAAAGAGGATGTTGTGCTTATCAGTAGCCTGGTGCAAGGGATTCTGCCAGTCCTCAAACAATGCCTACAGCATCCCAGAATACACACTCACAGCCCCACCATGAAATCTCATGAAGCATCTAAACCTCATAACGGGTGAGAATGAAAACTTCCCAATAAGAATGTTGAAATCTTACGAGATCATAATGTTTTCACAGTAAAGATTGTGAAATTTTACTTCTTTTTTAAAAATGGTTTTAAAAAAAGGAGTTTAATTGCAACAGTAAAAACTGATGTGATTGGAAAAAAGAAAAAAATAGAAGGTGCAGAAAAGGATGAAAAATAGAAAGAAATAGAAAAGAAAGAAAATTAAGAATATAGTAAAGAAAATGAAAATAAATATATAAAGAAATTACTGTACTTCCCACCTTTATCACAAGTACAAAAAAGGATAAACAAGTATAGACAAATTTAATAACTTATCACCTTCTCTTAAAGTAAAACAAATTCTTCCCATATCCCATATCTTATCATTAATAAATCCATAAAGCATCATCATTTCAATCCTGATGTTAGCAAAAGTCCTTTAAGCGATAACAACATATGAAGAGCCAGTTTAGTCTCATGGTTAAGGTACTAGGTTAAAAATCAGGATACTGAGTTCTAGTCCTGCCTCAGCCATGAAAGCTGACTGGATGACTTTGAATAAGTCACTTTCCCTCAGTTAATGATGTCAGGTTAAGGTAACAAACTGGCTGGTCAATTCCCGTTGCAACCAGATGAATCAACGCTTAGTTGAATTGTGTGGGGGTGGGGTGGGGGCAGACAGGAAGCAAATTGGAATTCAGCAGAGACTTCCTCATAGTGAGCACAATTAACCAGTGGAACAACTTGCCTTCAGAAGTTGTGGGTGCTTCATCACTGGAGGGTTTTTTTTTCCCCAAATTTTTTATTAATTTTTAAAAAACAAACATACAGACCAAATACAAAACATAAAAACATAAAACATCTTTTTTGAAAGCAGCTTGATCCCGGGTTACATCTCTTCGTACAGACATAAATTCAAATTCATGCTCACTTTTATATACCATTCCATATCTTATTACCATTCTAGATTTTCAATATAGCTTCTCCCCTCTTTTCACTCTCTTAATTCTATTTTATTTATTTCATCTCAATTTAAATCATTATACTTATATCCTTTGTCTGTCCTGTTTCAACTGTCTATTATCTTTTCTCATTAACACAAAATTTCTCCTGTAATCACTGATTGGAGTATGACGCCTTTATATCTTTCCCCTAAATTTAACACTTAATATAATACATAACTTTCATTCGGATTCTGCTTAGTACATTCTAAAGCTACACACTATATTTTAAAAAAAGAAAAAATTATAAATATATAATATAATTAAAACAACAATCCATACCAATTAAACTCTTATCGTTAAAATTAATATTCATTTAAATCTTAAACATTTTACACATTCCTTTTCAAATAAGTATCATGTTTCTATGGGAACCCTTATAAATTTTGCGTAGTTACTTCCCCCCCATTTCACTTATATTTTAAAACATTATGTAATTAAAATGTTCCCATTCCTTTTTAATTCAATTCTCTCATATTTCATTTCATTTATTTTGTTCAAAAAAGAAAAAGTTTCACTAAATTACATTGAATATTTTATCCCATTTTATAATCATATGTTGTTCCAATTTTCTAACATTATTTCTAATACAAATACAACAATACAGTCTATATGTACCTTTGCAGAATCTCTTTTTTAGTTATATTTTTACCCATTACCTCTAAATAAATCCTGTTTCTTTACATCTTGTTTCAAACCCTTGTAGTTTCTCTTCCCTTCCTCCCTCCCTTGCTTCTTCACGCCCTTTTTACCCCCTTGTCTCTCCATCTCCATTTCCCTCTTCTGTATTCCTCTTTTCTGTTGCTTTCTGACATTATATCCACTTTTCACCTTATTTTTCCCTTTTTTGGTTGTTTTTTTAGGTCTTAAATTCTCCATTCTCTTTCCCCTCTTTCCCCTTTCTTCCCCAGATAAAGTTAATTGTTCATTAAAGATGGCTTCTTCTTTGTCCCAATCTTCTTGTTCTTGTAGTTTCTCATAGGTAGAAATCGCCATTTCTAAAAAGTTGAAAACAGAGCCAAAAGAGCCCTTCCCTTCTTGTTCCTCTTCTTTATATTTTTTAAATTCAATTTTCAGTTCATCCACAAGTGATGCCATTATAAAAAGGATTTTTAAACAACCACCCAAGTATTTTTAGTCATTAAAATATAATTTCCAAAAGTCCCAAAGTCACCAAGCAGTCCAAATACACACAAGCTGTTTCATTTAACACTTTTCTCTTTTTTCACTTTCTCTTCCTGGGGTTACAATTCAGTTACAAAGTTCCAATTATAATGTATCTTTTAGAAGTCTTGTTACAATTTAACTTTCGACTCTTTTAAATTCCATGCAATCTCCTCCAGCCAAATCTTACTCTTTATTCTTTTCCTCTCCCTTCCCACTTGCAGCAAAAAAAAAAGTTTTTTCAATGTTCAGAAATCTTTATTATCCCCTTGGCTTTGATTTTCAGTTTAATTACCTGCTGATGCCAAAGTGGGTTTTTCTGATTTCTCGTTCATCTGCTGTCACCGTAAGGAAGGAGAGTGAGAAAAAACAAACTTTCCTTTTTCACTTTCATTCGCTGCTTCCAGATCTTCCTTGGGAAAGATGAATCTTTTTTGAGGTTCCAGGATATCTTGAATGTTGCTTCTTATCCCGGTCAGCCAAAACTTTCACTTCTTAGCTTCCTCCTGCACATTCTTTTCCGGATGAGTGCTTCTTTGAGGCGGCCATTTCTGACCACTGCTCTACCGCCTTCGGAAAAGGGAGTTAAGCCAGCTGAGGAGGGGAGGTGCGGACTCCCCTCAAACCCCTGCCGGGTCTCCCCTGTCTTCAGCCACCTCTACGGGGTGACTTTAGCCCCAAAGCTGGCTGGCTCGGGGCACTCCAGTGGCGAGCGCAAGCAGAAACCACGCACGATCGCGGATTCCTGCTGCCGCCGAAGCCCAGCAAACCGGAAGACCATCATTGGAGGTTTTGAAGAAGAGACTGGACAGTCACTTGTCTGAAATGGTATATAAGGTATCCTGCTTGAGCATGGGTTGGGCTAGGAGACTTTCAAGATCCCTTCCAGCACTATTCTGATTGACTGATTGATCCCAAAAGTGATTAGAAAAGGAAATATGTGAACCCAGGACCCTTTCCAAAGGGCTGACTAAGAGAACATAGCTTTTCTCTTGTCTCCCAGAGTTCTAAACCTCCCAGAGAACCCTGACATATCTCAAGTGTATCTTTGAAATCTAGGAACTATAATTTTCTTCTCCAGCAGAAAAAATAGTTAAACTATTTTATAGTTTAAGGGAAGTCTCCTACACTCCAGCTGTGTGGCTGCTGCATGCTCTTTTGGATGCTACCAGCCATGAGAATAAGACTCAATTCCAACATTTCTTTACAGTACCAGTTAAAAGGGAGAGCTTACTCATTATTGAACACACTCTACCGTTTCAATCCACACCCCTCTCCCATAAGTGAGTTGTCAGCCAGGCTAATTTTGGATTTAGTTTTAAATTAGGATAGATCTGTATTCAGAAATTGCCTGACCCTTCACAAATGTGGAGTACCTCAGTATTTGTGAACTGTTAGGCAACTTCACAAGGTTGAGCACCATTTTAAGTACCCCACTTACAAACATCCTACTTTCCCATCTTCATGTTCCCTTACCCACATCTCCCCAAATTGTTAGTGATTGGTGCCAAATGATACTTAGTGGGAGAGAATTGAAGCCAAAGGAATTCACCAATTACTCTCCTCAGTTTGTCCTACATTAAACCCCAAGAATAGCAGCAATTCTAGTCTTGTTATAGCAATGCAATAGCAAACAGTGTTCCTGAAGATTTTTCTGCAGTTGACTTAAGGACTAGTTAATTTCAATCTGTCTGGAGGTTTCAACATTACTTTATAACTTTATACCGGAATTTATAACATAATTTTATGGGTAACTAATTTCCTGCCTGGATCTCTTGTGAAAGAATTCCAAAAAACCTGCAGCTTTCACAGCACATGTAGACAAAATAATGTGTAAATAGGGAAATATTATTTGGAGATATAGAATGAATAAAATGACCAAGTTACTATATTTTGTAACCCTATTTTAGATATGTTGAAATATTTTGGGGTGAATCACGGTACACTAAAGTTACTGGAAATGTTTTTGAAATCGTTTTTTTTTTCTGATTGGAAGATAATATGCTGAGTGGCTTTGCATAATTGAATTTAACTTTGTTTTAGTAATAGGAGAAAAGGGGCGGAAGGAACTCAGGAATGTCTCTGCTTTAGAGGAGAGTAAACTTAGGTACATCTAATAAACATTATATTGTTTGGTTCACACATCGCACAAATCCGAGGTTTGTAAAACTATGGTTTATTGAATAAATCATAACTCCAATGATTCAGACGACGTGTGAACAGTGTGTGGTGGCCTAGGGGCTAGTTCAGAAGATTGAAAATTCAATTCTAGGCAGAAACAGGTGTTTTTTCTCTCAGGATGCAAAGAGAAAATATCTGCTGTGAACTCCAAGTACATATTTAATGATAATTAAGACAATCATATTACAGATTGTTTTTGACTTACAGGTGTAATGTAGCTGGCCTATCATGGTTGTAAATCAGGGGTCGCCAACCTTTTGGACCTCAGGGATTACCAAACTCATAATTTTAAATCCTGGGGACCACTAATATGAATTTTGACTGACGGTGGCATGCTGACATTGGTGGGAGAGAGAGAGAGATCTGATGTAACCCCCCCTCTCTCTCCCCCCCTCTCTCTTATACACACACACAAACACACAGAGGCAGGGGTGGGATTCAAATTTCTTAACAACTGGTTCTTGGGTGTGGCCTAATTTGTGGGTGTGGCTTGTGGTCATGTGACTGGCTGGGCATGGCTTGTATGTAAATATTATAAATATTTATGTAAATATTGAATTTTTTTATAAAAAAAGAGCAACTTTTACCCAAAAGCAGGCAAAGCAGGCAAGCAGATTGAGTTGCTCACAGAATCACAGATTCATTTAGAGATCTGTGTTTCTGCCATCAGCTATCTGAGTCTATCACATAAAATTTGTTTGCAAGCAAAATTAATTCACAACACACCATGTATGTAAATATTGAATTTTTTTATTTAAAAAAAGAGCAACTTTTACCCAAAATCAGTCAAAGCAGACAGGCAGGTTGAGTTGTTCACAGAATCATAGATTCACTTGGAGATCTGTGTTTCTGCCATTGGCTATCCTGAGTCTGCACTGAACAATAGAACCTTCAGTCCTAAGGGAGGTTCGGCTCTGCTTTTAAGATCTAAATATTAGCTAAAAAGCAGGAAATCCAACCATTTCCTGCTTTCTAGCTAATCTAAATCTCCCAGCACAGCAGAACAGCTGATGGTCGTGGGGGGGAGGAAAAAGGAAAAATAGCAATTTAGCAGGCAAGTTTGCCAGGTAAGGAGTGAGTGGGTGGGGAGGGAGGGCCATGTGGGCGGCGCAGCCTTTTGTTCCCACGCAACCTGGATTAATTGCTTTAGGGGGTGCTCTGGGGGGGACATTTCTCACGGACCACCGGTTGGCGACCATTGTTGTAAATCATGATGGTTATAAAATAGGTTGGCTATGTGACCAGTCTGATTTTACAACTTTCTTTGAGGCTGTCATTAAGTGAATGCCACAATTATTTAAGCAAACCAGTGGATTGCTATGGATATGGATTTGCTGAAAACTGAAAGTAAATGCAAAACTTCCATAAATATAATCCTGTGACCCCAGGATGCTATCAACATAAATATAGTCTGTTTTCTAAGTGCTAAAAAATTCAGTCACATGATTTTGTCCCATGTCTTTTTATTAGTCCATTCCTCCTTTTTTCCAGCCTTTATATCTTTTCAAAGTTCACATTTATCTTATGAAAATGCCCATTTCACATTGAAGTTGTTCTCACACATTTGAAATCAAGTGTTTCTTCTTCCGAGTTAGTGCCCAGGACAATTGCCAATAGGAGAATAATATAGGTAAAAGAGATCCAAAGGTCATCTGATTTGACTTCCGGAGGTAAAACTATCTCTCCATCATTTTCTGCATCCTCTCACCAATCTGTTCAGCATCTAAGAGCATGCAGTGGATTAATTTTACATTGCTCACATTGTGCTCTTTTCCCCATCCATGCCTATCTTCTGCCAGGATTTAGCCCGTGAAATTCACCGTGTAAAAGATTTCCTCCAGGTCGACTTGCCTGAAGATATTGTTCAGAAGATAATGCATAAGGCAACATTTGAGATTATGAAAGAGAATCCCATGGCAAATTATGAAACCGTACCCAGTTCCATCTTTGACCAGTCAAAGAGCTCGTTCATGAGGAAAGGTAAGATCAAGAACCCAAAATGATGTTCTTTTATTTGTAGAGAGACTTTCCTTAAAATAGGGAAAAAAAACCCGGCAATTTAAATTAGTTCTAAATTAGGAACATTTATATCCGGAATAAGCAATGTTTTGGTAGCCATTGACACTGAAGATTTTTGTGAAGGTTAAGGGCTTGTGAATGGATGAAAATTCAGTCAGACACAGAGATGTAATTTCAGTTCCTTATTTTTCCCTGAATTTGAGGGAAGGAAATAGAGGGGGAAGGGCTACATTCATTCAGCGTTACTATGTTTTACTGCCTTCATGTAACATGAAACAACGTCAGTGATTTAGGAACTATGATTCAGGTATGTCCTGGAAGCTTCAGGAACAGATTTGGGGCAGCAAATTATCCACCTACTTTTATGTCAAAGCCTAAAGAGTTACCTTATCCATGGTCCAAACTTTATAGCATCTAGCCTTTGGGTGTGTGTGTGTGTGTGTGTGTGAGAGAGAGAGACAGAGACAGAGAGAGAGACAGACAGAGACAGACAGAGAAACAGAGAGGCTGCCATCCCATTCATATCGGAGGCTCTGTTAAGACACTTCAGGGTTAAAAGGATTTAAAATCATACATTGCAATGTCCTACCTGTCAATGAATACTTCAGCTTCAACCATAACAACACAAGAGCACACAATAGATACAAACTCAAAGTTAACCGCACCAAACTTGATTGCAGGAAATACGACTTCAGCAATAGAGTGGTCAATGTCTGGAATACACTACCCGACTCTGTAGTTTCTTCCCCAAACCCCAAAAACTTTAACCTTCGACTGTCTACTATTGACCTCACCCCTTTCCTAAGAGGTCTGTAGGGGGCGTGCATAAGCGCACCAACGTGCCTACCGTCCCTGTCCTATTGTTTCTCTTATTCTTCTTTTATTTTTCTTATATGTACCCATTTCATGTATTCACAACTATGTATACACTTATACTTATTATCTTGTAAACAATTGGCAAATCAAATAAATAAATAAATAAAAAATAAATAATCCTTGCCTGTGGGGGGGGATGTCCATGGGGGCTCCTTTCATAGTCCCTTCAAAGAGCTGAAGCAAATGACCAGAGCTTACCCTGCCACACAGCAGAAGTTGGGTCTCAAATGCGGGCTCACTAATCTCCAAACCAGCATCTTAAACATGTGAGCCACCGCACTCCAGATGTGTCAAGCTCTTCAGAGGATTTTATTTGGGCTGCCATCTTCTTAAACTTTTCTTGGGAGTAAGTTGCACTTGTGAATGAATATGCACAGGAAGTCTAATGCTGGCCCAGAAGAACACATGAAAGTAACTATGACACAAATGTTACACACAAAACCGAAGCATATATGGAAAACCATTCAGGCATCATATCTACGAAGGTTCTCAGTCATCTAGGTTATAGTTATCCCAAAGGTGCTTTTCCAACTGGCTTTTCCAGTTGCCTTTTGAAAAAGCACCTTGGATACATTCAGAAACCAGAAATTATGTATATGAGAGATGTTCCAGAATTTGTTTTGCTTTTTTTTTTTTTTTTAAATTTTATGAAGAAGCAGAAGCAGGGTAACTTCATCACTGGGGCTCCACTACAAATCTTCTGGAAAACAAACCCACCAGTGGATCAATCCCGAGTTTTCTTTTGCCTTCTTCAGAGAAAGCTGGAGAGAAATGACACCTGCCTTTTATAAAAGAATCTGGGTGGTGATCTCAGATCTTAGGAGAGAATATGGTGGAATTGCATTTGCGGATGTAATCTAAGGCTTTTCTTAATCCTGAAATTCCCCCTAAGGTTTTTTTATTGTTGTTGCATTTCCTCAGGTACAGTTGGAGATTGGAAGAACTATTTTACAGTGGCTCAAAGGGAGGCATTTGATGCACATTACCAGGAGAAGATGAAAGGGACAGATTTACATTTCCAGGAAGAATGACAGACCCAAGAAATTATCTTCTCTGGGACTTGGACAAATAAGTAAAATACAGTCCCTAACAGTACACTATTTTTTTTAAAAAAGCAATTTTATTAATTTTAATGACAAACACATAAAACATAAAAACCTCATCTTTCCTTCATGAGTTTACAGACATCTTTCCTTCACGAGTTTACAGACAGTATCGGTTGGTTTACCACTTTTTTGTGTGCATCCATTTCACAGTCTCCATTGTAGTTATATTACATAATAACTCATATTATCAATCAACAATTATATAACCTAATATCATTATTAAACAATCATTCGACCATAATTTTATTAATTTATAATTTATCGAGATAACTATAATTTACTTAATTTATTTCATAACAAATCATAAAATCATACCAAATCTATCTTAATAAGATTTTATAAGGGTAGTATAAAAAAAATAGAAATAAAAAAAATATGTATTCATTATTTCCTAGGATTCTAAATATTCTATTATTATGTTTTATTATCTAACCATTGATAAAAAAGGTCCCAAACTTCATAAAATTCTTTATCTTCTTGTTCTCTAATTTCAAATGTCAATCTACTCATTTCAGCACATTCCAATATTTTCTTAATAATTTCTTCCTGTGGTGGTATTTTCTCACTCTTCCAATTTTTAGCAAATACAATCCTAGCTGCTGTCAATACATTTACAATCAAATATTTCAAATTTTTATTGTATGTATCAGGTAAGATTCCCAATAAAAAAATCTCTGGTTTTAAATCTATATGTTTCTTTGTCATTTTTTCCAACCATATGCGAATTTTGGTCCAATATTTTCTAGCGTCCTCACAAGTCCACCACATATGGTAATATGAGCCAGGTATCTGATGACATTTCCAGCATTGCCTAACAGTACACTATTGTTGCAATAAATGAGATTGCTATTAAAAATGAGGATACAGTGAACGTATCAATATGGGGAAAAATAGGCTCTGTAGTGGTTGAGTGATTGAGAGAAAGGACCCAAATTCTCTAGATAAAAGTATAAAAGCTAGAAATAAAGAGGTTGAGAGGCTGGAAAGAATGCAGAGAAGAGCAACGAAGATTAGGGGACTGGTGGCTAAAACATAAATAACAATTGCTGGAATTGGGCATGTCTAGTTTGATGAAAAGAAGGACTGGGAGTGACATGATGGCAGTGTTCCAATAACTCAGGGGTTGCCACAAAGAAGAGGAGGTCAAGCTATTGTCCAAATCACCTGAAGGCAGGACAAGAAGCAATGGGTGGAAACTAATCAGGGAGAGAAGCAACCTAGAACTAAGGAGAAATTTCCTGACAGAACAATTAATCAGTGGAACAACTTGCCTCCAGAAGTTGTGAATGCTCCAACACTGGAGATTTTTAAGAAGAGATTGGACAACCATTTGTCTGAAATGGCATAGGCCTATAGGGTGTCCTGTCTAGGCAGGGGATTGAACTAGAAGACCTCCAAGGTCCCTTCCAATTCTGTTATTTGGGTCTCAAGATTTCCCTTAAATATTGTGAAATTGTTTTTATATTTTCCAAAGTGTATTTAGTATGCTCCAATTATAGTTAGCCTAATTAATCCACAGTTGCTTAATAAAGAGATGGGTGGCATACAAATTTAACAAATAAATACCGTATTTTAAATTTTCTGTGCAAACTGTTCTGAAAAGGAGTCTCTGAGTCCATAGTTTCTATTGAAGAGAGAGGGAAAATTGGTTACAATCAACCTAGTTGCTTTCTTCAGCAGAGAGATCATCTACTAGATCCACTGGTAGTTTTAGTATCTATCAGTTGAAGGTATTTAAATAAGTTGGTATTTCCTTGACAGAAAAAAATACAAACAGCTGTCACTGCCTGGAGCCATAAATTCTCAAATATTATTCTGCACTACATCAGTTGCAATGTTAGTAACCAGGATCCAATTGCAATAAAATCAAAGTGAAGATAGGTGGTGCTAGGGTGGTAATTATTGTGATTTAAGTTCTTAGCCAGTTATAAGTTCCCCGATGTGTATCTTACATTTCTCTTAAGATTGGAACTTGATATAATTTCTATAGAGACTCACATGTGACTTTGCAGCCATAAATTAGGTTTTAGGGGCACTTCCTCACTTGACTTTATTAGAAATGACTTTATAAATTATTAAGCACTGAATTTCCTGGCAGAGCCTGCTGCAGTCCATTAATTCAGTACTTACCTTTCGCTTTAAATAAATATTTAACATGTGCAGATTAACATTTAAACGGTTGCATCATATTTCCCTAATCTGGTAGATTAGTTATTAATCTATTCTCAGCCTACTGGAAATTTTCCATATCTTTTACGAGTATCTGCATATCTAAATATTGGAAAAGGCAGATTTCAGGAGAAGATCCATAATGCAAGTATTTGGGTTATTGGGTTTCTTGCAGTCTAAATCATCACAAGATACAAAATTATACTCCTGTGCTTGGTGTGAGTCCCATTGATGCCATGGGCTCGATTACCTATTTGTTTGCCCAGGCTTCTGTTGGAGGAGACCTAGTATTGTCCTCAGGTCAAGTGGGAAAAAGTGGGCAATCAGAACAGGGGTCTCCTATGTTGGCGACTTTAAGACTTGTGGACTTCAATTTCTATAATTCCTTGGCCAGCCATGCCACAAGTCTTAGAGTTGCCAACGTTGGAGACCCCTGACTTAGAAGAACTTGAAAACAGCTAAGAATGGGAAGCAGCTTGAATATATTGGTGGTGAGGGGATAGGATATTTGCAATGAATGCAGAAGGTGGAAAACATCATCTGTTCTTCCATTACCTAACCATTGGGAGGTCCATACCAGCCACAGGTCAGGCTGAAAGAGCAATTCATTATGATTTACCAATAGATAATGTGATAATCAAATCTATCTTCTGTTCATAACATGAGGCATGGAGGGTGGCCAATGCATCTCATAATCTAAATATTTAATGAAAAGTTTATTTTCCAAAATTTTGTTATCTGGGATTCAGTGGAAAACAAACTAAATAGAAAGACATAGTCTATTTGTTCAAGTGATAGAGGCTTGAACATATCATAGAAGGTCAGAAGATTTTTTTTCAGAATGGCTGAAACAGAAATTGTAAATGAACTTTGTGCTTGATTATTTGACACAGTGACCTGACCGTTCCCAAGGCAAATTCACCTCTGTACCTTTCATAAAATCCACAATAAAAAAAAAAAAACTGCTTTTAGCTATGTCCAATAAAACAAACCAGTAAGCAACAAGTATGAACTCTACAGGCCTTTCAATATTACATGTTGTATTACACTTAATTACAATGGAATGTTTGTGAAATGGAACCAACAGATTTATTATTGTACCAGGATGGGGAAGAAAAGAACTACCGTATATGCCGGCGTATAAGACGACCCGGCGTATAAGACGACCCCCCAACATTTCCACTCAAAATATAGTTTGTTATATACTCGCCCCCTCTTCTGCACACCTTCCACTTTTGCACTTTTTTTTTTTTTGAGGCACTTTTGTGCACCGTGGAAACGAATCCCGTGAAGCCGAAAGGAGCAGCCAGCCTTCTCCCAGCTCCCAAGGAAACGAGGCTCGCACCGCCCGGGCTCCGCTGAGGTATCCGGCTGGGGTTGTCAGGAGTTGTTACTACTGGCGTGGCTCCGCACGGCTCCAGTCCCGCGTTGCCTCGGGAAGGGAAAGGCAAAAAGGAAGAGCCGCGGCGGTGCTTTGCAATGGCAGCAGCGGCTCCTGGTTTTGCCTTTCCCTTCCCGAGGCAACGCAGGACTGGAGCCGCGCGGAGCCGCGCGGAGCCGCGCCAGCGGTAACAACTCCTGACAGCCCCAGCCGGATACCTCACCGGAGCCCGGGCGGTGCGAGCCTCGTTTCCTTGGGAGCTGGGAGAAGGCTGGCTGCTCCTTTCGGCTTCACGGGATTCGTTTCCACGGTGCGCAAAAGTGCCTCAGCCGCGGGCAGCCGCAGTGCTTCCCAATTACTATTTGCCGGCGTATAAGATGACCCGGCATATAAGACGACCCCCCCAATTGGAGGCATGTTTTTCAGGGCAAAAAAGTCGTCTTATACGCTGGCAAATACGGTAGCTTTAAATCATTTCAAATATTCTCATCATACTTTGTTCAAGGAAGCCTTCCTCAACATGGTGACCTTCATATGTGGTGACTATAGCTTCCAGAATTCCCTGTCTGGCATCTGGAAGGGGCATATCTAAGGGTTACACAACAACTCTATAATTATTCTGGGAAGGTATCAAGTATCAAAGTAGGGTTCCCAACCTAGGGGACTCCCTTATGTTTTGGTCTTTGAAGACCAGTGTTTCTCTATCTCAGCAATTTTAAGATTTGAGGACTTCGTCTCCCAGAATTCCCTAGCCAGCAGGAAATTCTAGAAATTGAAATCTAAAGTTGCTGCGATTGAGAAATGCTGATTCAAATTGTATTCTAGATTTCATTTTAATCTTTTACCAGTTTGCATGAAAGAGAACTAACTTTCCCTTACACATAAGGCTCAAGTATACAGAGAGATAGCTTTTCTCATTACTCCACTTACAAGAGCATTAACTCCCAGAATCCTCAGAATGGTCAGACTGGCTGAAGAATTCTGGGAACTGAAGTCCAAACCTTTGGATGATGCCCTGATTGGGAAAGCCAATGATAGGGGTGGCATACATTCCAAGGTGAGGGGAGAAACTGTACAGTGTGGCAATAGACCAACCTACAAGTTACATGGGAGAATAATGGGCTAAACAACATTAATTGTGCTAGGTGGATGCATACTTGTCCACTGAATGCATTGGGTAACAGCTTCTATTATCACTATCAGACAAAAAGGGGAATAAATGGAGTTGACAGTGTGTACAAGTAGTCATAATAACAGAATAACAGAGTTGGAAGGGATCTTGGAGGTCTTCTAATCCAACCCTCTACTCAGGTAGTAAACCTTACACCATTTCAGACAAATGGTTACCCAATCTCTTCTTAAAAATTTCCAGTTTTGGAGCAGTCACAACTTCTGGAGGCAAGTTTGATTAAATGTTCTAAAGGTGAGAATATTTCTCCTTAGTTCTATGTTGCTTTTCTCCTTGATTAATTGCCATCCATTGCTTCTTCTTTTTTCCCAATAATTTTTTTTATTTTTATATTTTAAAATCTTTCATCTTTTGGTGAACAATGTGGTCCCAGGTTTTTACATTTCAATACAAACATGACCATAGTTACATATTC